ATTCCCACTCCTCCACCTGACCTGCTGCCAATCGAACCAGTTAGTTACAAAACGCTCCTCCAGCTGTTTCGTATCCAAACCACTTACCTTTACAGCTTTCTGGAGATGTATTGTTGCCATTAACTGTTAGATTACACTTTTTTAATAGTAAAATTTCTTACTATGTTTCATTGTGAATAAAATATGAGTTTAAGTTACTGCATCTGGTTTTTATTTACATTTTAGACAATGTGTAAACCTTTAGAGAGCTTGTTTCACTGTGAACACTTGCTTTACTGGGACCATGTGTCCCAGTTGTATTGTTGTGTTGTTTTATACGCGGCAGCTCGGCGAGTCACAGAACCGTGGCGCTGGACGTTTGAGACGTAATTAGCTCTCAGGGTGTGAAGGTGCGCAGACAGAGGAGGTAGATCGGGTGACTTGAAACTTGTGAAAACTGAGCTTGCAGCTCTGAGCTGCTGGTTTCGTTGTTATTTTGAGCCCCAGCACACTTTGCTCCTAACCTTTTATTTATTTGGAGAGCACTTCTGCTGAGCCAGCAGACTTTGTCTCTGCACTGACCTGCTTCGACCTGCGACCACTACTGCTGAAAACAGCCAGGACTCTGCTCAAAGACCGGCTTCACTGCTCCTTGAACCTCCTGTACTTTGTTCAGACCTCGGGCTCTGTCCACCACTCGCTCTCCATCTGTTGTTTGGAAATTATTGTTCAGTTTTCTTCTAATAAAAGAATAATTAAACTGCACGGGCAGTGAATGAACAAGTTGATGCTTTAAGTAAATGTGCTGTAAAAAGTCCATTTACCTTCTTCAAGTTCATAATACAGAAAACTCAGTATGTAACTAAATAAAATACTTTGATTGTAATGATGTAACTCTGCTAATACTGGAAGGACAGCAAACAAAAACTAAAGAAATTGAATTTCCTGCAAAAATGCAGTGTGAATGCTTATTGCTGAAAAACAGCTGAAATTAGCTTAAAAAATGCTGAAATGAAAGAAACAAGCCTAAATTAGCAGAAGAAAGCAGTAAGGACACATCTTTCCTGAATTAGGTTTAAATATGCATTAATGAGCACAAAAATTAGGGAATCAGCTAAAAAAAATCTAAAATTAGCAACAAAAAAAACCCATCTAAGAAGTAGCCGAAAAGGCAGAAATAAGCTTAACCTATGAGAAGGAAGTGGAAAGAGTTGAAATGAGCTCTAAAAATGTGGAATTAGATGAAAAAGCTAGAATTTGCATAAAACAGCTAAATCGTGGCTGAAGTAGCAGAAAAAGCTGAAACTAGAAGAAAAATGCTGAAAGGGGCTTAAGAAGCGGAAAATAGCAGAAAGATAAGACAAGACAAGATAAGATGAGATAAGATGAAATGAGATGAGATGAAATGAGATGAAATGAGATGAGATGAGATGAGATAAGATAAGACAAGATAAGATGAGATAAGATGAAATGAGATGAGATGAGATAAGATAGAACTTTACTGATCCTGCAGGAAGTTAATTAGGTTGAAAGAAGCAGAAATTACCAAGAAAAACTTGCATTTATCTGAAAACAGCTGAAATTAGCTAATAAAATCTAAAAAGGTAGCTGAAAAGGTAGAACAAGCTTTAATTAGCAGAAGAAAGCAGAAAGAACATGTTTGCCAACTAGACTGAAAGAAGAAAAAATGAGCACAAAAAAGAGGAAATTATCTGAAAAAAGCAGAAATCAGCAAAAAAAAAAACCAGCTGAAATTTAGCTAAAATTTTCAGAAAAAGCTTAAATTACCAGAAGGAAGTGGAGAGAGCACATGTTTGCTGAATTAGGCTGGAAATAGTTGGAATGAGTGTAAAAAATGAGGAATTAGCTGAAAAGGCTTAAATTAGCGTAAAAATGGCTATATAGTGGCTGAAATAGTAGAAAAAGCTGAAACTTGCAGAAATCAGCTGAATTGAGCATAGCAAGTTGAAATTAGCAGAAAGAAGTTAGAAGAACAAAAATGTTGTAGTTAGCAGAAAGAAACTGAAAGGAGCACAAAACAGCTAAAAAAACAGCTGAAGATAGCTGAAAAAAGTTCAAATTAGCAGAAGGAAGCTGAAAGAAGCTGAACCAGAACAAAATGTGAAAGGAGCAGTAAAAGGTTGTAAACAGATCTAAAGAGTTGAAGAAATGAGCTCAATTCATTTTCTATGACAAAAAAAAATGTCAGAAAAGGCTAAATATGGCAAAAAGCTAAAGTTGCACCAATACCAAAAGTCACAGCAGGATTGTCCTGAAAGAGCCGAACGTTTTGATTCATGATTTGTAGAAATAGCTGAAAACTGCGGGACGAGAAAGATGCAGAAATACGTACAGAAGAAAAATAGATCACAATAGAATGAATGCTTCATAAACATTCAGAGAGCAACTGTAACTAAATTTAAAAGTAACCAACAACTTGAATACTGAGGTTACTGGTTTGGCACTGGTTTGGTTCTGAATCCTAAACCTGAAGAACTCCTGGGGCCCCCAGTGGCTCCAGCTGTGAGGAGATACATTGGACCAATCTAATGTGCATCTATTTACGGCTCTTCAATAAATCAATCAGACGGTGAATTAAAGCCTGCAGCGTCGAGATGATCCAGAAAAAATGTTTCACATCAAAGTCTGAAGGACCTCCAACTGTCCTCACCTGTTCCTCGCCCTCAAACAGGAAACTGTGGGCAGGTCACCAGGACCGTTACGATAATATCTGTTTGAATTCTGGGTTTCATATTGTGGAGCATTTAATTACAACAATATCTGAAGGGATATATGTTTGTATTGATCCTCTTTAAATCATGTCGCAGTTACTTTGAATCTGGGCTCTGAAAAAGTAAATCTGTGTCTAAAGATGTATTTTTTAACGGATTACCCCGAACTCCAAACCCTCTCCACAAGAAATGGACTGACTGCATTTCTGCTTCAATTAATTAATCTGAGATTAGCAGATTATTGTCGTGGTTCTGAATCCATTCTGGACTTTGTTCTGTTGTCGGCTGCGTCTCTTCAGCTGACTGACTCCTTCCTACCAGAGCTGATAATCTGGGGTGAAGATTATTCTTCAGAACTTTACGGTGCTCCTTAGACAGGAAGAGAATTGAGATGTTGGGGTGAGAGACAAAACAGCTTTAGTGACTTTGCTGAAAATTCAAATGTTTTTCTATTGACCAACAAACTAAAATTGCTGCTTGTTATGAAAGATTTTTTTTAATTATTGAGCTCTGTGGCGAAGTTATGAACAAATAAGCAAGTAACATCTTACCTGCTGTAGATTGCTCTTTGCATGACCTCAAATTGGACAAAGAGTTTAGAGGACGAGTCCCACCAACGTTGAAGTGATTTTTGCCGATGGGGCCGAGGCTGCTGAAGGTATCAGTCCTCCTGTTCTGCGTATAGTCTGTCAGAAGGTTACTCAGCTCCCAGAGGAATCCCACGTTCACCATCCTCAACTGGCAAGAACAGAATCCATATGTGGTCCGCTCACTATCACAAATACTGTTTGGTTCTGAAAGCAGGGACAGACTAAACAAAATTATCCATAAATGAGAGATTTAATATAAACTAATGCAGCATTCTTGCACACCTGAATGTTGCTTCTGAGAAAGAGTTGTTTTATGAGCCTGAAACGTGTTGGCCCTCTTTGCTAGCTATTAGCCTAGCCTGGACAAAGACTCTTGCCCGGTTCTCCATACTCGGTGCTTTGATGTCATGGCAGAGAAGGTACTAACGATTAACAGCCATTGGACAGAGCATTACTTCAGAACTGTCTGGACTACCAGTATTTTTGATTGGGTTAATGCTCTAACAGCTAGCCTGAACTGGGCTAAGATTGATGAGCTAAAAGCTAGCCTGAACTGGGCTAAGATTGATGAGCTAAAAGCTAGCCTGAACTGGGCTAAGATTGATGAGCTAACAGCTAGCCTGAACAAGGCTAAGATTGATGCGCTAACAGCTAGCCTGAACTGGGCTAAGATTGATGAGCTAAAAGCTAGCCTGAACTGGGCTAAGATTGATGCGCTAACAGCTAGCCTGA